GCCCATAATGGAAGGGTCAAGTGAGAAAATATTTTCAAGAAATATCACTCTCAACTCTCCCAAGATCTTGCCCAAAAGCAAAATAGGAGGGAGAAAACTACAATACATTTTACAAATTAAATTTTTTATAATCAAAAAATGGCAGCACTTGTCCATAGATCTACATTGCTAAATGTCTCAGTATTTCTCCAAATGAAATGCTTAAGAAATTTCAAAGGCAAATTTGATGAATATATTTCACGCCAGGGAAAATGTTTTAACTTTGTTAATTATGAAGAAGGCTGTATCAAGCATATTTCTATAAATTTATCTTTCAAAAGTATTTTATCAGGAGAAACTGCATATATGAAAATATACTTGTGCACAGATAATTGCAAATGAATATAATTTTATTGGTGATATCAACTGATGGAAGATTACATTCAAACAAATTACAAGTTTAGTCAATTCTGAATCTTTAATGATTTAATTTGTTGTTTGAAAAATTCAACAGTCTGAAGGTTAAGAAACAATGTAACAAAATTTCAATCCATTGAAATTAGTTTAAGATCAAATAAGTGTATCAAGGGTAAAAAAAAGTGAGCCTTTCATACACCAGCAGAGAAAAAGATACTCACCGACTATAATGACAATAATAACTACACCAATTCCAACCATTATAGCAATCATCTGAAAGAAGACATTTCTTTGATCATTGTACAACAAAAAATTATATTTGCCAAGGGTTAAGTCAACTGATAATTTAATAATTTATTAAGTGTGGATACAAACTAGTTTCTGGTTAATTATAAAATAGATTAAAAACATATTAGTCATGTTATACTACTAGATTGATTAAAGCATTAAAATGTATATGTGGTTCACTTAATGTGAACTTACAGAATTTGTGCACACTAAATTTTTGTTCCATTATCATTGTGTATCAGCATAAACCCACTCAATATCATTGATTTTATGATTGTAACCAAGTAACTAACAATAGTATTACATTAGAACTGTACATGTTTTATCATTAGATATCAAAGAAGAAAGTTAGTATATCAATATTATCAAACACACAACTCATTTATATAATTTTCCAACCTTTCCAAAAAAGAAAAACTATTTTAGGCATGAATAGTATCTATGCTGTCATTTCTGTTCCATAACTCCAAAATTATTACCAACCTTTTCCATTTTAGCCTAAGAGCTCTAAAACTGTATGACAGAAAAAACCTAACAGCCGAACTTCTTTAAAACTCCTGAGAATATGTGTAACAAAAGAAGTGAAAGCTGAAAGATTGTAGTCATTAAGTACCATACTGTTATATTAAGTCTTACAGTCTTCACTAATACCAATACTAAAAAAACTTACTTTACAATTTTTCCACCAGAATTTTCTCTTTAGCTTACCAGCTTGTTGTTCAAATTGTGATGCTCCCTGCTGGAGTGCATCTGATTTTAAAAGTAATGTTTACTTAGTTTTCATAACATGGAATATACTATGTTTTGTACAATCTAATATATTACCTTCTGATTTTTTTAAATAACAAGCAACAAAAAAAAAGCCTTTAAGTATTTGTTTCTTTTTATCATTTAAGTAGCTTTTTTTACCCTTTTTTTCCTACATTTGAATTTTATCACCAACTAAAATAGCTACCAATCTTGCATTTTTTAATGTTACCAATATTAATTATAGCAGATGTGTTTTTACATCTCTCAATTTTAAATATATTTATTGCATTTAGATAAATTACATCTTCATAAGTAATACTATAGTTCGGGATAGATTGCATGGGTAATTTATAAAATTTTCTAATAGCAAGTCAAAATGTACAATGACCCAGTAAAATGTCAAAACATTATATGCAAACACTGTTGACAGATGCAAACTTGTAATCCTTTTCTAAAGTTAGAAGGAGACAAAACCAAGTTGCAAACAATATATTACACACAAAAAAAAATCACTGTACAATACTTCTGGGTTCTTTTAATGTGAACAAAGTGTTTAACTGCTTGAACATTGGATCAAAGGAATCTAAAGTTTATTATGAATTTTGATATCAATGTGATGATTACATGTATAAAATTGTTTAAATATGTTTTTATGGATTATATGTTCCAGATTTTGTTCTACACAATTCTTAATTTCAAGTTATTGTCACCTTAAATTATATAGTTAATTACAAACTTAGGTAAAGACTTCCTAAACATCATATATATATATATATATATATATA